GGTAGAATTCCTACTTAGAGGTTCCATGCTGGGATCATTGAAATGAATGACACTTGATTGTTAGTCTGGTACCCCAACCAGTGGCAAGTCCAGGATTTTAGATCATGAGGACACCCCAACCACGTGAGATTATGCCTTCATAGCCAGATTGGATTGCGTTTGTATAATATATGTGTGTTTTTATTTGCTAGCCCACAGGGCGTCCATCCCCCTACCAATGCTCCAGATCCACTGTGCATGAAGGACGAAACATTGACCACCTTGGGGGTGGGGTGTTCTTGATCATTATGCTGCAGGAGAGGGTGGCATGATACGCTTATTTTGGAAACAACAAATTCAATAATGAAATGGTAAATTGAAGTCAAATTTTCTCTTGTTAGTAGGTTCATTCTCTCTTTTTGCCTCACATGTTCAAATGGTGTGTTAAATTTTGTCATTTACATGTTTATTTTTTAGTCCTGGAATGTGTTATGAATTAACACCATTAAAACACTTCATTAATTCATTTATTTAATTGAAAATCGTACATAATGTTTCTCAAGGCCATTTTCATAACAACAAACCCATCATAATCCCAAGAAGTCAATATGTACGTAGCTATATCCCTATAAAAAACAAAGAGGTTGTGCCAAAAGCAAAGAAGGTTTAACTTTCCATTTTGAGTTAGTCCATTATCTACAAATAGCTAAAACATTGTCAAAAATGACTTTTTTAGCTTAATTGCCACATTAAAACAAAAATCCATTTTTGATTGTACAATTCCATACATTGCTCACTTGAAAAACATTGAAGGATAAAACCTCAATAATCAAATTGGAAAAAAGAGAAGCTTTCCAAATAACATTGTGCCAAAAATTGTACGTAGCATTTAAATAATGTAATCGCCCATTCCAGTTCCAACTAATCTTTCACATGCACGGAAAATTTCTAGTCATAAACCAACAGCTTGTATGAGTTTTTACCACTCGTTAGTGTTATACTATCACGCACATTTACCTGTATCTCATCGAAGCAAAGAATGCTTGCTCCTCCCTTGTTTCCCTCCTGGTCGATGAGAAACTTGTCAGCAACATCAAGAAGGACGTTTTGCATTTGAATATCTTGCTTATATTTTTCTTCACCAGCTATCCATTCTTTGACTTTTGTATCAAAAGGAAGGTTCATGAACCAACCAGAAATGTTTGATTGTAGAGATTTCTGCTCCACTTGATTCTTCCATGTCCTATGCATGTGCTGATGGATTTCAAGCATAGCCTACAATTTTAGCTCACTCAGTTAATTGAATTGCATATGAAGACTTAAAGATCGGAGAACAAAAGTAACCACTAACCACATTTAATGTCATTTACCAAGTTGTGATACAGTACACTTTATTCCAATATAGAGTAATAATTATAAGCAAGCACATGCCTCATGAAAGTGAAACCTTCTTCGATGTTTCACAATTCCTTCTGTGGCCCCATAGAACATATCCATAAGCATTGTCTTCCCTATGTAATAACGAAGCATAGTCAGATCGCCATATTCGTGAAACACCACACTGCACGACAAATATTAATAGTTGTGGTTCAGTGGTTCTGGTGATGATTAGAGTTGCACACATAGAGCTGGCAAAACAGAACCGGAACCGATTACCCGAACCGAAATATCCGAAACCGAAACCGAAATGACCCGAAAAATGAAGATCCGATCTATAACCGAAAACCCGAAATGATCCGAATCGAACCGAAACCGAACTAAATAATTCATATCCGATTTAAATCCGAAACCGATTAGATCCGAAACCGATAATATCCGAACCGATTAAACCCGAAACCGATTAGACCCGAAACCGATAATACCCGAAACCGATAAAACCCGAAACCGATTAGATCCAAAACCGATTATATCCGAAACCGATTAGAACCTACATAGATAATTTTGGAAGTATGTTTTCCTTTCAATAAGCATATTATGCTTTTAAAATTTTACTTTTATTTTACCATTTGAACTAATTAATTGTAAGTTCTTTAAATTCATTTTATATGTAAAATTTTACTTCTTATTTTTTTACTTCCTCCGTCTGGAATACAATTTTTTAAAAAAAATATCATATTTAAAACTTTCTCTGTCCCTAAATAAATTTTTTTTTCGTTTTTTCTTTCTCCCCA